ACACCTCTGAGGCACTATTGCATCAGCGTCTAGAGCTGTAGACTCAGAAACCCTGCCCTGATCATGAAGGACATCATTGCAAATTGGCATTTGTTTACATTGCTAAAATTCAAACCTGTAACTTGCTGCCACTGCAACTCTGCCAGGAGTGGAAGTTCTTGGGCAGGCAGGATTTGGGGATTTTTCAGCACCATGCTCCCTATCCCATCATTGCTCCACTGCACAGATAATATTTTTTTACTTTATTCTTTCTTGTCATGTAGACAAAGCCAAAGTGAAGGGCTTTAAACTTCCTAACATTTGAACTCATCTTTCATACACCTGAAGATTTAAATATTCCTCCTTAAAAGTTGCCAAAATACCTTCCATCTAACAGTGCGGCTCACCCCCTCCCCCCGAAATTATTTTTTCAAAATCTGTCCTTTTCCAAATAAAAATATTCTCAGTGCAGCTAATGAAATGCTGTAGCCACCAATATAAATGTTGTTTCCCTTGGTTTATATTAAATTAACTGCCTGGCAAACATAAATTCAACAACAAAAAGAAGACCTGAATTTCAATTGTGGGTTTATGAGCCCACACAAAGGACTTTATTCCCATTTCATACGTTGCCGGATTGTTTGGTAGCACCAAGCTCTGAAATGGTTTGGATTAGTAGAGGGACACATTCTGTCATTCTCAATTCTTCAAACACCCAGATGGAAATTTTACTTGAAGAACTCAAGAATATAAATCATAGTTCTTACCCATTTCATAATGCAAGAAGCCTCATTAGGCTGCTTCAGTGCATTGTTTCATTCCAGCATTCTGTCACCAGCAATGGCCATAATAATCTAGAGGTCCCTTTGCATAGCAGGGAAGGGATTAGCACAGGGGTGGGCAAAATGCGGCCTATGGGCTGGATACAGCCCACCAGGCCATTCTATCCGGCCCATGGGGCCCCTAAAAAATTTAGAAAATTGATATTTATCTGCCCCTGGCTGCCTGTCATGCAGCCCTCGATGGCTTGCCAAAACTCAGTAAGCGGCCCTCCACCCGAAATAATTGCCCGCCCCTGGATTAGCATTTTCAGAGGAGATGTACGCACAGACTAGTGTCCTGAATAGAGCAAGGGGGAAAAAGCTCTACAAGCCTTGGAAAATGCTGTTAAACCAATGTAACCTTTTGTCCCCTAAGAGTAAGTGCCATTTTGGTGGCACTGCAGGTAGAGAAGAGCCACTCAGTGACATCAGAAGATAGAGCTTCTAGCAGAAATTTCAGCAGGGCTGTCCTTTCCCTGCTAAGAGGAAGCGGGAAGCTGATGCAAGTGAATGGTGGTGGCTGATGGCAGTCTGGTTCCTGCAGCAGCCAGCAGGAAGGAAATGCTGACTGGCAGTAAAGACAAAATGTCCTTGTGGGGGCAGAGCCTTTTTCCCCTGATGAATCTCCAAGAGCTGAGTGGCTTGAAGGCTGGACCACTTGGTAGCCCTTAGGGAGCACTAGGAGGAAAACCCTGTCACATTTTTGAGATCTTGCACCTCATCCCTAGGTGATAGTCCTGCTTTATGGCATCCACCATTCTTGATTCAGGAAGCACTTAATTCCATACTTAAAGCATTTGGGTAGTCCTAGTGAAACCTGTGGAACTGTTAAAGGTAGTACTTTCCAAAACGTAAGGAAGATTCCTATCTTCTTTTAGTCATTTCAGTAACCTTAGGCACCTTTCTTTTTTGAGAAGTCCATCCTAGGTGCTTAAAGTGACACAAGTGTTTAAATATCTTCCTGAATCCATGCTGTGTGGATTATAGGTGACATTTTCAAGTGTTTGGTTTGGATCAAACCAAAGGTGACCAAAGGTGAGTTACTGTTAACTCTCAACAGAATGATACCAACACTGGGCATTTTGAAACTCACACACTAAGTCAGGGGTTGGCAGCATATGTCCTGTGGGTCAGATCCAGCTCACAGAGCCACTGGATCCGGTTAGCGGATCCAGAAGTTTCTGCATCTACCTTAACCTGTGCTGCGGCTGAGCAATTGGAAGCTGAGCCCAAACTTACCAGATAGCAGGGGACTGATCCAGGACTGGGCAGCTTTCAGGTATGCCTGCATTGCAGCCAGAATGCCAGGGGAGGAGAAGCAGCAGCAGTGTGGATGCGGTTTCTGGCTGCCCGACCCTGGTGAAGCTGTGCCTGTGCTGTACCTGGGAAGAAGGGGGCTGGGAAATGTGGCACCAGCACAGCTCCCAGGTCCCGGCATGAGTACAGGCAAAGCCGACACCACACAGCCTGCTCTGGACTGGAGCCAGGTTGTTCTGGCATGTAGTTTGAAAAAGTTACCAGCCCCTACCCTAAGTCATTACTTATAGACAAAGGAGAAATAATTATAGGCAAAATCAACCAAGTAGTTTAGAAGTCCCACTTACCTCCAAAGCTTGTTGTGTCATTTAAGTGCTTTGGACATTTCCATTCACTGCATTTAAGTGCAATTTGGTTTTTTTTTCTTCTCTTCACCCAGATTCGAAATCAGACCTGCTTTATTTCATTGGCTACCACAGTAATAGCTACTTTTTGTTATTGTTTATTTATATACTTTACTTATGAGTTAAACTGATTAAAAGAACCCTTCTGTGTTTACCTTTTGAATTGTTTAGGTGCCCCAAAAGTTTTTACAGCCCTAATACAGTGCTCATTTGCAAAGTACTAATATGATCACAGGATAATTTTTATTTTTTTTTTCCTGGCCATTCATATTACTGTAGTGATGGCCAATAGAAAGTACGTTGGTGATCTTAGCTGTTGCTGTGTGGTCTCTTTGCTACCACATAGAACTTTAAATGTGAAATTGTGATTTATGCTCTTCTGTGTTTCCTCATGGTTATATCTGCTATAATATTCTGCCTGCTTATCAAGCTTCCAATTAAATCCTGGCATGTCAAAAGGAGGCTTGCTGGTGAATCTGTAGCAAAACACATGAACTGTTTTTCAATCATTTTACTTGGGTTTATGATTCCTGTATATACCATATATGTGTTTAAAGGTTGTATTCTCAAAAACAAGTTTATTCATTGATGATATAATAGTGATTGTACTTTTCTTTTGGTTAATAAATTGTTTGCTTGGCTTACTTTGTACGACAGCCAAAGTTAGTCATACCAATTCTTGGAAAGGATATGAAGAAACCAGTAATTGAAATCATAATCATTTGATTATAAAAGCTATTTTAAAAATAACATTTGAACCAAAAACTTGTTTGATCTTAAAGTCAGATAACAGCTGCTAAATAAAATCTTCCTATTACTGAACTTTAGAAATTGTTATACATAATGATTGTATTCAGCATCCTAAACAGAAGACCCCATCCAGAAGCTAAGTCTGTCTTCATGCAGGCTGATTTTTTTTTTCACTCTGACATTTAATAACCACCATGTAATAGCTATAAAATGCATAGCAACTACAGATCTTTTATTTCCAGTGAATGGTGTAATGAAATTGGGTGAAGCCATCTATTAAAATTGTACTTTGTACTATGCAGCATTGTTTACAAAGTATTGACATTTGTCATAAACAGAAATTTAAATCATTGTCTTTACTGTTTGTTCAGTGGTAGCTTCTATTCAGCACAATGATAAAGAAGATTCCATTACAAAAAATTCCATTCCATTGTCTTACTTAATATATAAGCATGCCTTTTATTTTTAACCAAATATTTTTTATTGCACTAAATGCAATAGAAGGTGACTGCCTGTAAAGCAATTTTGTGTCATATATGAAAAAGTGAAATATCAGATATGCCTTTCACCAAAGCTGCCATAGATTTTGCATTGTGTGTAACTTAAAATAGTAAACCTACTTTTGTTTGCTGTTGAGCAGTATTTTATTTCCTGAGGAATGCACACAGCAAAAAAAACAAAACAAAGCAAAAACCAACCCCCTCTCCCCATCAGAATCAGGCATTTCTCTTTGTACACTAACTCCAAAGAATTTGTTTCCTTTTTTCAAATAGCTTTATTTATTTTGGAGAAAAATGATTGGTTTGTAAATTTACAGTGACTATAGCCGTGTTTTCACTAGAAATGTTTGGAGTGAAAGGTTCATTGTAAGTCAGTTCAAGTTAAAACATCAACTGTTTCAAATATTTAACTTAAAAATCTAGAGTTTATCTTGCTTTGCTAGGAGCTGTTTCATTATTCTTTTTTTCTGAAGCCTTCTTCAGCTCTGCTCCCATAGTCAGCTGTAAAACATTCTGCTTATTCATCACAACTGAGAAGAGTTGATTGTTTCCTGGAAGGACAGAAATTCAGCAATTAGAGATATTTAATTCAACTATATGTTCTGCAGGCTAAACTAAGTTTAAACTGTTTTCTTAGAACGTATTTTTAAGAGAAGAAAAAAATTACAGTTCTTTTCTGATCTTGAAAAAGGTTTTAATAAACAAGAATGTGCAAGTTTCTTTTGGTGGGAAACACATAACATTTATGTAGCGTTTCTTTTGGTATTACATCACAATTTTATTTAATTTTGAAGACAAAAGTTAAATTTAATATTTGTGTGTAATCCAAGGGAAAATATACCATAAACACAGGAATTTTCTGGTGAGTCAAAGCTCCAAGAATCTAAGATTTATTTGAGGACTAACTATAACTGTTAGTCATTAAGCCATGAATTTTTACATTTTCAACTAATTGCACCCTAAAAGCAAGCTTTCACCCATGCCATTGGGTACTACAGAAAGAATATGCTTTGACAATCTACATTTAAAATCCCTTTTAGGATTACTGCTTTAATGTTCTTGGACTTTTTTGTCACATGTATTTGCTCCAAGTAAACAACTAATAGTGACACTAAAATGGCATGCAAATTACATGAATTATCAGCTATTATGTATCACAGGAAAAATTAATCTGCCAACAGCAAGATAAACTTTTCCAATAACATGTCAAAGAGGCAGCATTACAAGTTTATCATTCATCATAGAGCCACACGTAATGCACTGTGTTCTTGTTTAACTACATTCTGCAGGATGAAGTTATTGCTGTTTCAGAGAAGGTAACTGTGAAACTTGAAGACTTGGCAAAATGGGCACAATCAGATTTCTCCAAATGGAAGTGTGGTTTCCGAGCTGACCCAGTCAAACCCACGGAACTAGGCAAGAATGGACAGAGGGAATCCTTGATGAGATACAGACAGTCCACACTCAATAGTGGCCTGAACTTCAAAGACATTCTGAAGGAAAAGGCTGATCTTGGTAAATATATTTTCCTTTTCTAAAACTGGTGTGCATACTTGCATATACCTGTCTTTCTAAGGACAATGAGCCCAATACTTCCATATTCATTGAGGCTAAATTAGCATAAACTCTGACACCACTTCTGTACCACAAGTTTACTGGGCCTGGCAGTGATGCCCTCAAGCCCACCATGCTACTGCAGGGAACAGTCAGTTTGTGGTATAGATACAACCAAAGCGTATGTCTACATTGCCAGCTGAAGTGCAGTGTAGAGATATGCAAACTAGCTTTGAATGACCTGATTTCGGTACTGGAAGCAATTTAGCTGCAGCAGCACAGAGCTTGGTATGGGCTAGTGTACCCTGCTTCTTGTCTCCTTTATGGCTGGCTCAGGTAACTCAATGCTGTATTGCAGTTTGTCATGTACATGCACCCTAACACTTAATGCCGTTAGGTTCCTGTCATGAAGTTGCTAACAAAGCTAATTGGCAAGGGCTTCCTGCAGAAGCTTTGTAGACATTGGGATCAAGCATCAGCTGTGCATCATATGAGATTGAGTCTGATTCCCCCTTTGTAGACTTGTAGAAGAAAGAGATGCCAGTAACTTATTACATCATACTGGTCATCTCCTTGGTGATGCATGACCATCGCCTATCACTATAGCTTGCCCAGTCTTTGTCTAGGATAGCATTACATGTTTGAAGTAATAAGGTTTCAACCATTTGCTTGGAGATTAGTTTACAGATTAATGCATTTTACTGTAGGTCTATACTAATACGTGGCCAACACTTTATAAAACCCAGTTTAATTAATATTACACCTTTATGCCATAGTTTGGTGTTGCCACCCAGTAGATCTGTTCCTCCTTGCTCACTTCCTTCCCAAAAATGGTGAGGTATGGGAACATATGTGGATAACTTTTCTGCTGTGTGGGAGTCTCCAATGCTATGGATGCCAGCAGATTTGCATCCTTCATTGCCATAAATACTCCCAGTCCTACAAGAGGGTCATTGTGCACCTACCTGAGGTTTCTTTGACTATCATTGAACTCTGTGGGTGGAGAGATCTGCCCACATACGGGTTTAAGGTGTAGGTGGGCACAGAACTTGGGTCTAATACTCCAACTTTATAGGATTTGTATAGGTACAACTTTCATTGTCTGTAATGGGACATGATCTTACACAAGGAGTGGAAGATGACGGGGCCAATTTCCATATATAACCCATGACAGCTTGATTAGGAGTCTAACATGCAGCCCAATGGAAAGTAAAATATATTTTGAAGTATAGTCTAATGATTTTGCTTAGATTGGTAAGTTTAAAGACTGAATGATTTCACGTTTAGCACATAATTGATAAAAGGTAAGAAATTAAACATTAAGTCTCATATTTTGTCAATTTCATAGGTAGAAGTTTCCTTATCAACATAAGATGTTGATAGAGGGCCATGTTCTTAGCTGTGTAAATGGCAGATATCCATTGAATTTATTTACATCACCTGAGGATCTGCCTTGTAGAATTCCTTTTGCATCTCAGCTTTCCTGTATAATGACATGTGAAAGGGGTTGTATGATGTGATATCTGAGATTAGCAGACCAGGGACCGGCCTTGATGACCCAGGAAGGCACTTGCAGCCCTATGTTCTTATGTAAATGATGAAAGGATTTTGTCCATCTTGTGTTACATCATCATATATATAGGATGGAAGTTTAAAGTGCAATTGTAAGTTGATCTTTTTGGTCTTACATCTACTCTAAGATTTACACAACTTTTATTGATTTTTTTTTCTTGTTGCAATTACACTATTTCTGGCATTTCACTGCTGTTCTCCATTTACAATACATTTCTTTGCATATGTTTGGTGTGTCAAAAGAATCTTAATGTTTTTGAAACAGAACTTTTGTGCTTTAATGTGTGTTTGTTTTGTTTTAAACAAACAAACAAAAATCCTTTGCGGTAAGTTATAAAACCAGTATTATTTACCCAGGAGCAAAAGAAAATTATCTTGAAACCTAGTATACAGAGTTCAGAGTTGAATGTCAAGCCTTTGAAAATAGAGTTTATACTGCAAATGCATACAGAATCTCAACTATAACAGTATAATTTTGATAACCCGTATTGCATTGCGTGTAGTTTTCTTTTAGTTTGTAAATCAGGCTGTGGCTCATGTCTGAATTAAATTTTGACTGTTGTCTGGTGGGGTTTTTTTAATGTTCTCATTGTGACTGGTTATGATTGGTATAAACCCAAGGGTACAAGGCGACATTTAGCTGGTTAACCTCGTTGCTTTAGAGAATAGGTCTAGCCTGCGAAAGGTAGTCAAGGAAACTTGCTACTGTTTGTTTTGTTTAAATCCAATATTCAAATTATTTTTGTCAGTGTTGTTGGAGCAAGAGATCAAATGAATTAAATGCCTTTTGCTTTCCTGGCCAGGAAATAACTTGAAGGAATTAAGTTTTTCTTGCTAAGGAAACAGCTATGTTTGGCAGTGCCCGGAAAGAAAACCATAGGCCATCTTCTCCCCCTATTTAGTTTGACTTGGATCAGGGTTTAATTGCCATTAATTGAAAGGGTGCTTTGATCTAAGCTGGCTTGCTAGCAATGTGTCTGTGACAGGGGGCAGTGTCAGAGCCATTAACAATGTTGGACTGCCCACCTGTCTAGGACCTGTCTAGGGCAGTCTGCCCTCCTGACTCTCCTGCCACGCCTTTGTTGTATTTAAATAGTTGCTTATAGGTGGGAGGCTGTCCATTTTATGCCCTGATGCCAAGGGCATAATACACGGTTCAGACCTCCATTTTACCGTGTCCCATGCCTCGCAGATGGCATCCAAAAGACCACTTCCAACTCCCCCGGCCTCATTGCTGGGCTGCACTTGACCACTGGCTCAAACTTGGCCTCAGGCATCCTTGGACATACCTTGGCCTGGCCTCTGGCCCAATTTGGCCTCAGGTGTCCATAGATGTGCCTGGGCCACATGCTTCCCTCACTGGGGCCTCTACTCTGGCCAGCCTACGTATAGTCCTTCAGGCTCCACAGACCCTACTCTACGCGGTCTCTGGCAGAGAATTTGCCCCCTCACTGGGGGCTTTTGGGCCCTACACCCCTTGGGTCTTAGGTGTCTGTTGACATACCTGGACCCCTAACTCAGCCAATGGCCCACTCATTCAGGTATCTGTCAACCTGCCTGGACCCTGCCTCAGGTCGCACTCAATGGATCTGGGCCATGTGCTTTTCTGTTGGGGTGTGTTCCCCTAGCCTTTCCCCTCCACAGGGTCACCCACAAGGCAGTGAGGGATGAGGCTTTCTTGCGCCCCATCCTTGCCTTTCACTAGGGAGACATAGATGTGGCATTTCCTAGGCACTGCCCAACCACAAGCAGCCACACCACACCATCCAACCACAGTAGTTTGTAGTTTTAGGTCATTCCCCAGGACCAGGAATCTCCTCCATCCTCATAGTTCCTACCCTTGACCTCCAGGTGTTCTGGTAGCAACAGGACTCCTGCTAGGTGATGTTCATCCTTCAGCTCCCCAGTTGCAACTGGCAGCCCTGCTCCTTGGGTCTGGTCTTATACCCTGGCTACCTAGCCCTACACCAGTCAGGCAGCCTTTTGACTGCCATGTGACTGCCTGATTGGGTCTGCTCCCACCTGCAGGCTGGTCTTCAGCCTGCTTAAGCCTTTAAAGTGGCAGGCACCAAAGGTGCCCTGCCATAGTGTCCTCTAAACTGACTTTGTCTCAGTTGTATATGACCACAATTAAATTTTGTTATGCAGATAAGTCCAGTTTTAAAGTGGGGTGATCTTGAGCTGTTGATCTGTCTGTGCCGTCTGCTCTGTTGTCAAAATGGCACATTTGCTGAACACTATATAGACATGTTCATTGGAACTCCTCTAACCTTCAGCATCACACCCATGCAACAAATTCAGCCCCACAGTACATACAGTGCTCAAAAATCTGCTAGCTTTAACTATGGCTATTAGTGTTCAAACATGATCTCTCAGACCACTAGGGACAGGGTCTTTTTTTCTTAAACCATGTTGTAAAGTTTTTTTTTATAGACAGCACAGGGTACACTGATTGTAAGTTTCATAGTTTAGTCCAAACTTTATGGGAAATATGTCATTGAATAATTCTGTGAAACAAATCCTGTCTCCATAAGTCTGCTAGCAACACCCATGTTTAACCGTGGATGTAGCTTAACAAATTTCTGAATCTTGTGTTGAGAAGTCCTAGATAAACCATTTGATTTCCTGGCACTGTTTGCCTTGGGGAAACATACATTTCCTTTATGGAGAAATCCTATAGGACTGAATAGAAAAATGATATAACTATCCTCCAGTGTATATTTGAACCATCCTGTTGAATTTAATAGAAAATTATACCTCTCCTAAGGAATTCCAGGAATGGCTCAAATAAACCATGCAGAAAGAATATCATTCAAATTCAATAGGCTTTTAGAGAAATTTCTAGAGAAACTGAGATATTTCTATAGAAGCACATTGTTGCATCAATATTAAATTATGTAGGACTTCTCCTTAAAGATCATATATAAAAAAAAAAAGATATTAAAATATTAAAATCTTATTTTTCTGAGGTGCAAGGTTTTCAGCATCGAAAATGATTTTTTCTATGTTTTGGGGCATTTATGTTATACATTCTGTCCCCATTTACAAATATGTCAGCATTGAATGCTAGTGGTTAATGTCTTCAGTCTATTTATAGCTTTCAGAATATTTCTTTCAAATGTTGATAAAAAAATAAAGAGTAACAACAATGCAGCATATAAAAATAGAGTTGTTAGGAATGTATTATTCATAATGAACATGAGAACCTGTTTTTCCAGAAGAATTGGTCTGATTAAATCATTCACTACAAGGGCCTCTAGTTATTTATTTTTGTCTTTAGAATTATTTAGGGGATTTTTCTCTGTAACAAATGAACTTGCATAACCATATTTGGTAAACCTGTTGGACATTGCTGAATGAAGAATTATTTCATTTTGCAAACATTTTAG